ACCTCGTCAGGTGTTGCCTGACTCTCGTACAGCTTCGAGCCTCGAGGAAAAGATTCAGTGTCGCCTTTAAATTCCGCACAAGAGCACATTCTTGTTCCTCTTCTCTCCTAGCCATGCAGTCATGCAGTGCCTTGATTCATGTTCAATCCATCTATTCCTCCTCTGGTTGATCCAATACGTTGTTCAGAGTTAGACTCGCTAACCAAAATTCCCGAGATAGAGTTGTGGGGTTATGGGCGCCTAACTGGGATCAAGAGACGATCGCGGACCGACAAGCGCCCAATTCAACCTTGTCTTCAGCACCAGCTACATGAACGTGAGTGACACAGGTGAACAGCATCATTTCCTTCGATTTCCTCATTCTCCGGCTCCAGAAGCATACCAGGACTTATTTACTCTAGCATGGAACCGACAACCTACCGTCCTCATTACCAACCCCGCTCCTCAATGGAGTTCGCTTCACAATTCTCGTTCTATGCGCATGCCTCAAATTTATCCTAGACAAGCAACAGAGATTCTTATCTTGAAGGAGTATGAGAGAGTATATGATGACATGGAATGGTTCTTCTCCGGCCAAACACCGCCGTTCCTTACGCCTTTTGACGAGGAAGACACCCTCTGAGCACGGTGGGAGATGGATTTGATTGCAGAGAGCGAGGATCCCGACACTGCTCCCGACTTGCCTGCCCATCTTGAATTTTCCGTACTCGATTTTCCTGATCTTCCGGGCCCACCACTGGAACAGACGGGCCACATAGTAAGAATCGTGGCTTCATTGTCCTTGGACAACCCGGTATCGGGAAATCCCTCTGGTTGTTGTTTGCAGTAAGCAAGCGTCTGCTTGCGAGGCAGCCTACCTTTCTCCAGCTATTCCCTGGATTTGTCGTTATCTTTTGTGAGCAAGGTGCTTTCCAATTCGGCAAAGATGTTATCAAGGCTCTATCCGCGGACCCTACGAACCTTGGTCCCAAAGACTTCTACTTCATCGATTCAAACGAAACACTCATCACCCCGCCTCTTTCTGTTGTCGCCACAGAAGCACGAATCATTCAAATAACATTGCCTCGGCTCGAGCAGCTGGACTGGGACCGAAAGACCACATTTACAACCATAACTTACCTTATGAAGCCTTTCACACTGGATGAACTCTATTTGCTATGTCCCTGGTTCTTGACCTGAATTGTCTTAAATCTTTTCCTTCACAGTGCACGTTACCAACCGCCGCCTGTACCGTCGCTCGAGGATCTTTCCAAGTTTTATGTTACCTATGGACCCTCCGCCCGCCTTGCATACGCTCATGCCTCAAATCAGGATCAATACGAGATGGAACTCGTCAAACTTATCCGAGCTCACGATCGAAAAGAGCTTGATCAGCTTGTTGAGGGCTTCCCATCTCAATTTTGATAACAAAGTTTCCCATCAACTCTTTCTCATAAAACCCGCGCGCGATCGTCAGGACTGCATTCCGGCCATGATCAGCAGTCATGTTTGTGAAAAAATCAAGGAACACCTGGCAGACGAGTGAACTCTTTTTGCCAAGAAGATTTAGGACACTTCTCTTTTGCATTCATACACTCGAGTGGGGGCAGGACAGATCCTTGAAGACCGATTGCATGGTCTTTTGCGAGATGGTCATCCCTGGGATGCTCACCCTATGGTCAAACTTTTGACGGACAGCGATACGGACACCGTTTATGTCACTGGATCTATTTCCATAACCAAAACATTTCATCTTCATCCACCTCACTTGCGAACAACGGATGCATCACATACTCGACGCTCCTTAGAGCTTTGCACCTTTGATAATGATGGGCTCTCTCGTGAGCAAATCCGTTCTGATGTATATTTCCGCCCACTTTCAGCTTTCCAAGCTACATTCGACTCCTTCATTTGCGATCCGGAACAAGAGACGATATATGTTTTTCAATTCACTGTTTCTGCAAAGCATTCTGTGAAATGCTCAGGCTTGGTGATGTTGGCAAAGCTTTGCTCAGACTTCAAAATTGTCTACATTGTTTTCACTCCAACTAAATTGCCATTTGGAAAGCAATCCGAGCCATTGGTAGTTGAAAAATGGCATGCTATTGTAAGTTCGGATAGGCTCTTTGCTGTGAGTGCTACTTTTGAATGTTTGACATGTTGGTTGGCTTATATGTATTCTATACATAGTGAGATGGAGACGAATAGTGCCAATTCAATAGTTATCAACATAATTAAGCATGGTATCTTTTTACGTTCAGATGATCGTCAGGTCTTGTTGAGATGGGCTTGAAGGCAAGATAATGCATATGTTGCGAAATGAGCTCGTCCGTCAGGGAACTTCCTCCGCCGATTTTTTCGAGCCTGAACAGTGAATGTTGGATCCATCGTCGACGTAATTCCGAAGCAAATCCCCGGATTTGTATTCAATCTGACGGTCTACGAATACCTTGAGCAGAAATATGAGTTTGGTTTAAGTTGCGCACGTGAGAAGGAGGGATACCTACGGCATCATGATGATTAATATGAGGAGAAGGAGTGCTAACGGGCCTCGAGCTCACAACTGGACCCTCCTTGACTGGAGTCCTATCGCTTACACTCGCGCAATTGGTATTGTCACCGACAGAATTTGAGTCTACTTACATAGTTACATTTCGAAATTGAGAAATATATCCCTAGGTAGAGAAAATTATCAGGCATGACCAGCCACTATAGTTGCAATGAGGTCCAACGATTAATCGACTAGATAATAATGCCTATTGCTTACACATGCGACTGTAGCAATGACCACTGCGCTATGGTAATAAGGGTATGAACAGATGTCGAAAAAGGACAAAAGAGCAATATCACCAAGTCAAAAGACCGTCATTAATGGTGAAGACTACGACTGCATCCACAACCTCCTGGGTTGTGATGCAACAAGCTTAAAACATCCATGCTTTCAGCGGTAGACAGACTAAATACGTACGAAAGAGTAACCCTCCTTTATGTTTCGAAGATAATAGTACCTGGCAGCGGATAGTGCAACATCGGTAACCGCAAAAAGAACCAATCCAGCTGTGAACATCATCTAAACGCAAAGCAGTAAGTATTACGAGTGCGATCCTTCCGCATCAGACAAACCTTGAACTTGGAGGCAAATTCGGGAAATGTCTTCGTGATAATCCTGTTGATCACACTAAAAGATTGAGGGATTTCGTAATTAGGAAGACATCACACAGTGGTTGAAGCTACGAGTAATGTTACCCTGAGACTATTACCCAGAAAGTTGAAATGTACCTAACGCTAGTCCTATATATGCCGAACGAATTGGAGGGAAGTTGGCCAGAAAAGAAACTTCTACACACCGACGCGAGCCACCGACAGCAATGCCTAATAGGTCATATTATGAGTATGTGTCGATATAGAATAGTTTGGCATACAATTGTTCCAGTGAGCCATCAGTTATGCTTGATAAAAGGTAGAATACGGACTCCTGTAAATCCTCCATCCATAAAATCTACACTTGGAATAATTAAACCTCAGTGGTAAACAGAGATCGAAGAGAACGTACGCATTGACACTCAAGGTAATGATAGCTGTCATCGTGACCGTGGTCTATATAAAAGACGGACGTGTTCAGACGTGTTGAGTTAGTGTAGTAGCCTACTAGACTGGTCTAGCAGAAAACATACAGGTAAAGTTCTGCGAATCACCATGAGTTAGGAAATCAGCCTGACTAGTTCGAAACAAAACACGGACGGAAAGTTTATTTGTACAGCTGCCTGATTAGAAAAGTTCCCGACGATATACCACCAGACTTTTCTGCATATCAAGACAGTATGTACGGCGTCAGTAAACCTGGAAGAGATCTCGGTTAAGTAGCATTGAGTGAACGAATAGTTGTAGGCATACCATATCCATGCAACCTAAAGTCCCATGATTTGATCAGCGTCGATAGCCAGGTAAAGAATAAGTAGCATACCAGAGTTTGTAGCGTAGTGCGTCGGAAGGAAAAATCTTGGAAGTAAAGGAAGGTTTGAAATCCAACTATCGCTGAAAGCCTGCCGAAATTCTCAGCACACATAGCAAGCACATCAACGAGGAGAACACGCTACCCAACAGCCGTTAAACATCCAGCGAGAATGGCACCCATCGTCGAGTGTACGTTGATAATCCATGGAGTATTTTACCGATGGTGACACTGGAGAGTAAAAGACGAGAAGGCCACACGACTAGCGTATATTCTTGATTTAAAAATCGAAAAAAAACTCTTCCTTATGTACGAAAGTGAGGTTTTCCATGGCAAGTCTGAAGACGTCTTGTCGGATAATATCGTTATAGGTCCAGGCGGTAAAACCGCTGCAAGAATAATAATACGTGAAGATATCTAGACAACTCCTAGGAAATGGTAATTTGAGAAACAATTTGTACTTACTGGGTACGTCCCATGTAATACACAGCAGAGCAGGCATATAGTGAACAGCCGGCTGGACTAGAAAGCTCCCAAGATGCTTATAGTAAACCTGTTAAGTATAAAGCTCAAGTGATCCAGAGTTATCCAGTTTCATTAAGCTGTTTGGCTCGGAACCTCTTTACGGCGATCTTCTTCAGATGATAGAGCTCCCGCAGCGGCTTGAACATGAGTGGCGTCCAATTCAGCGCTCGAAAACGTATCGGTGGTTTGGCAACGGATATATTTACGTCGTCCGGAATTGGCCTTAGTAACAGATCTGGCTCCAGGATTTCTCTGACATTCTCCTGCTCAGTGGACCCAAGCTTGACCGAAGCGTGAGTCTCCAGAAACAACGTTGCCCAAAGTTTTGAACTTGAAGATGCCACTGAATGCTGGTACTTTAAAGATAACTTCTGGCGCACGGTAATGTGTGTCCTCCTGCAGTAAAAGCCAAAGTTCATCGATCTTGGTAGAGCAATAAATCTCACTGGAGAGAGAGAGAATCAGTACTAGTCCAAGAATTGGTAATTTCTATTCTTCGCGAGAGTAGTGACCACTAAGAAGATCTTTGTAGCAGTTCAGATAATCCGATATGGTGTAGTGGCTAACATTATCGCCTCTCATGGAATGTGATGATGAATGAAAAATCGCGCGATAGCCCGGGGTTCGATTCCCCGTGTCGGAATGTGAAAGTCCACAATACGTGGTGTTTTTTCTTTTTTTTTTTTTGGCTAGACTTGACGAAAAAATCCTTTATACACTATGTAAATTACAAACAATGAAATAGCCTACAGAAAGACGAACAGCAAAGCGAGGAAAAGCGAAAGAGCAATCACAAACCACATATAGCTAATAGCAGAGGCCGAACATGTGTAAAGTACCTACAGAATCATTCCCATTACACTCTTGAACAGTATGTACATAGTATCGACATCTAAGTATGTGTGCCGCAAAAGAAAACGTCCAGCGGCACGATAAAGTTATCAATAAGGAGTAGGAGCCTGCAAGGGCACGGCGTATGGGCTCGAATAAGACGAAGCTGGATACAACGCCGGGTCCGCATAATCCACGTACGGGCTCATCGTGTATGCTGATGCAGCTGGAAGAGGCACTCCCCCTCCAGTACCAGTACCGGAAACATTGATATACGGACTGGGCGCGTACAAAGACGGCACGGGTGTGTTGTTGTGTGCGTTGATATACGGGCTTGGAGCCTGTACGGAAGGTACGTATGGGCTGTTATACATTGAGGCATCAGAGACAAAGGGCATGACGTAGGGTGATGCCGCCGCCGCTGACGACGAAGAATCAGGTACGAGGGAATACCCCGAGGTTTGTGGTTGCGCAGGTAAAGGAAGATTAGGTGCGGATAGACTATATGGGCTCTGATGCAAGGTAACATGTCCAGGAGATTGAAGGTTGTGAAGGTACGGGGAGTTTGTCGGGTTCGGGTTCGAGTACGGAGAAGAGTGCGGTAAAAGTGTCGTTGGAGGTAGTGGGGTCGCGCGAGGAGGAGGTGTAGGGACATGAAGTCCGAGGGCGGTGAGCCTCGCTTTGAGACTGAGTATGAGGTTATCGTCAAGGTCGTAAGCGTGGCTAGCTTCTTCTTCAGCGTCGGTTCTGTCCTGAATCGTCATCGCCATCGTGTTCTGTATCATAGAGATCTAGGGGAGTCATTCCTCCAGGAACGAATCGATGGATTTCGCCTCGTGAATTGGCTACTGGACCGCTCCAGGGTGACGCACGCTGAGATGGTTTACGGGATATTGGAATGTTCTTTGAATCGCGTCTCCCAGCGAGCCTAGTAAGTGGAGTCTGCTTAGCTAGAATACCGACAGAAGATGGGGTTAATAACATACCCATGCCAGGGTGATTTCTTGTCATCCAGCAAAACAATCAATATCTCGTCCTCGTCCGATTTCTTGTGATCGTTAGAACCAGACAAGCTCTCTGTCGAACTACTCGCGGATTTCGAAGAGTCCCGATGGTGCTTGTGCTCGTGCTCGTGTCCTCCATGCTTATGATGATGGTGATGGTGACTGTCCCTATGTAAAAGAACACCTGTCAGTTCCTACAGTGAAAGCAAAACGGAACAAAGTAAAAATACTCGCCGACGACTATGTTTCTTCGAACTCGTGGACTTGGCTGTTGTAAATGAAAGGCAGAATCAATCGATCGATCGATCGCGATTGTTGAATGAACATATGCATACCATCGTCTCGTTCTTCTTCAACTGCTGTTAACACCTGGTTGAGAGGAGACTTGTCTATGTGAATGATGACTTGTGAGATTTACGAAAAATGCACGGTAAACTCGCGAAACGAACCTTTGGAGGGCTTGCTGCTGCCTACCACTCGTGATGAGCGCCGAGAGTCTAAGCAAGACGTCAGTCAATTCAGGATGAAATCGCATCGGACAAGCAACTACCTTGCCCCGAGGAGGAGGACCTTTCATTAAAATATGTCAGTAAGGGGAGACCAAGGTATCGGGGTAACTTACGCGTCTGGGTTGGCAACAACTAACGGTACTACATATCGCAAATGAATCAGTATTTGAAGCGAATATATTTCGATGACAGCAAAACTTACGCGGTCCCCAAGTATGGAAGTGAGATCGCACTACCGTTGCTGTTTATCCTAGCATACGGTGGACGCGGAGGAGGAGGTAAAGGGTCTATTTTAGTATGACAGTGAGTGACTATCCATACGAATAAGAATTCAAACGTGCCGTTGTCATCTAGAGCTGTAGTAGTCATTACTGCAGGCGCTGATTCGACCTGAACGGCTGTAGGCGTCGTTGGTTCTACAGCAGTGTCTACATCGCCGTTTGTAGGTACAGGTGCACTCGTAGACGCCGTGGGTGTAGTAGGTTCAGTGATGGGAGAAACAAGGTGGCTACACGATTTTGAATTATCAGCAGATCTTAGCGGGATAGAGATCGAACTGACGATAATCGCTTCACTTTCTTTCCATATTCGTCCAGTGTCTTGGTGAGGTTCTTGAACTCTCCGTCGAGAATGTCAGGTCGTCGGCCGGCACCTAATTCATAGCCTCCGGTTAAGATTGAACGTCAAGTAGGATAGATGTGTCCTGAACCTTTCAATCTATGCGCTTTCTAAAATGAAATGAAACATCAGATAGGTGGCCGGAACATAACACCGAAAACAATAACGCACTGGAGTTTTGCCTTCCAAGTCATATAGTAATCCACAACTTTTCTTCCAGCACGTATTCCAGGGTACTGCGAAGACGATGGGACGCTGTTCAAAGTGACGAGTGACTCTTCGTTTGGTAGAGTCATGGGACAAGGAAGCACGGTCATCTTCACTACAGACACCGACGCGCCGTGATTAGTTAAAGTTTGTACAGAACAAAGGTATTAGCTCACCGTAAAGTCTTCTCATAAACCTTGGTGGCCTCAGAACCAGTTATAACTTTGAACTTTGGAAGTCCATCCTGCTCGAGATCCTTTGGCAATCCGCCTTCCTTTGCAATCTGTTTGAGCAAATCTGCATTTATGTGCTTTGAAGAACGGACACTCTGGCGAGCAATACGTTCGATAATTTCTGGAGGAAGTAACGGAGCTTCTGCAGCATGGGAAGAATGGCGACGAGATCTTCGTCGTGAAAGTTCGGCACTAGAATCCCCACTTGCTTCTCTTTCCTTTTCCTTTTCCTTGGTACTTTTCCTTCGCGTCACGGATGCTGGCTCGGAATCCTGTTTGGGGCGATCTTCAGTCGTATAAGAAGGCGGCGAAGAAGAAGACATAATTCCAAAATAGCGGCGAAAGATTTGCTCCTTGTACTGGATTAAATATGTCGGCGGCCGGAGCTCTCGGAACAGATGAAAAAAAAACAGCCAATAGTAAACGTGCTGCCCTCGAGGCCAAGAAAAAGCTGTTTCAAGATGGCGGGACAAAGCAAGAGAATGCAATCTACGCCACACTTTTGTAGATTCCTCTGGCGGTGCATCTGCTCACTTCTTACGTCAAGGCGCTCCATTTTCTCAATTTCCCAGCCGGCGGGAATCGCGGGTCCGCTTGTCTCCATTAGCTCTCATCAACTAGACTAATTTACAACTATTCGTCCAGATACTAATGCTAACGAGATGCATAGATGCTATACGAAGTCATAGCTAACGAACTGACTGATGAAATCCTTCTGTTCGCATTGTCGTCGACAATGAAGCCTAGGCCTCACTCGTGGACCTGGGCTTCACGCCTATGAGTCCGGATAAGCAAATTAATACTTGGATATTTCAAGTAGGCGTTCGAACTATCATACTGAATCCCGATTCTTTCATATTCCGTAAGTACATTCAGTAGCTCATGCTATTGAGAGTACGCATATTAATAACTGCGTAGGCGATGGTAAGCAGCGAACAGCTTTGTTCGGTTTTCGAGAAGCGCGCGCGATCGGGACTTCGTGAAACGCGTCAAGGAACTTGATCTGTTCATTGAAGGAATACTAATCGAATCTTGGTCTTCATCAAGCAGTCCCAGTCGGTCTCCCAGCGGCCCCAGCCGAGCTATACAAGTTATTCAAAATGAAAGAACAAGATAAAAGGCAGTCAACCCATCTTACTCACCTCAAAATTTCCCGGTCCTTCTTTAGCGTGAATTGGACCATCGTGCTTAGATCCTTCTCCAACATGGATTTGACCAGCAGATCATCCTCCCACTTGGATTCCGAGTCGCTTTCTCCAAGTCGTCCTTCTTCAATCTCAGTACGCCTTTTCCTAGTCCTCTGAGTCTGTTAATTTCTCCAATTTATGGTCTCCTCCACCTCGATATCATATAGCCTCGATTTTGACGCCGTCGCAGCCAGCTTTAGGCCTAGGGTGTTGGAAACCCCAGTCAGCGGTTTTTATATAAAACAATGAAGTACTAATAAAGACGCACCTGGTATTGTTCTAATTCGTGAACTTCCGGACGACTCCGAATCTGATTGACATCTCCAAGTTCACCTTTAGCAACCTCTAGATCAAATTCATATTCTCATTCAACTCGGAAGCTTCCCAAATTCGGGCTTTGGATTTGATTTCTTCCGGGTAAGGGGCCGATTCAGAGCGTAGTCTTCGCTGCAGTGGCGGAATCTAGAGTCCACGGAGTCGTTGCGGACATACAGGGAAGAAGGAATGGTAATTTGCAGCCCCTACTGAACCCCGAGGAAAGGAAACAACCGCTCTCGCTATGTAAACTAAACGTTTCCCCAAATCACTATTAGGGAGTAGTGTCAATCGCTTCCCGGGGATAACCGCTTGTAAGTTATGTTGGGTCGTTTTAAGTACTTACTTGATATAGAACTAGTACGCATTTCTTCCGTCAAAATAACTAACGAGATAACTTGGATATTCGGGTCAACGACTGCGCTAGCCTACCGCCAGTAAATTCTATGTGTATGGAAGGAACCGGCCAGAATCCAGATGGGGTTGTAATAGGGGGTCACCTTCGCCTTTGTCCGTTATCGATGTGAGTTTGTAAGGATGTTTGCATTGCGGGGCAATCGGAAATGGAAGTCGGAGGTCATGGTAGGCTTCAATGGTGACACGCTGGAGAGATACTCACCGAGCTAATCGTGGATTTTGTATCGTCGCTGCGCTAGAATATCCTTCCTTGGGTCTGGGACGAGCAAGTCCGTGAAGCACGTGACTCTATTCAATGCAATAGACATAAATGTTAGCTATA